AACCTTCACATCTGGCTCCAAAAACCTGCCTCTGCAAAGACTTGACTTTTATTGACAATTTTAACCTTTTCTGGAACCGCCCTTCTGTTTACAGAGTTGATGGGATTCATCCCAACAGGCTGGGTTCACAGATATTGGGCCACAATATATTTTATTCTGCTTTTAACTCCAGATGATTATTACACACCTCAAACTCAAGTATCTCTGTAGTTCTGGGTTGAAGACCCAGGACCAGGCCTCCATCAAAAAAAATAACAGAAGTGAAAGATTTTAATGGTTTTATTAATCCAGACAATCTGATTTTTACTGATCCAACCCCAATTACTTTACACTCACGAGAAAACCCTGCAGTAAATGCTGTAACAGATCTTGAGAGTTTTAAAAACAGAAAAGGTTTAGTCATAATTCATCTTAACGTTTCTATCTGACTTAGTGAAATCCACCTCACACTAGAAATTCCAGATGTTGACTTGGCACTAAACCACTTTAGCAAATCATTTCTAATGGTGGTAAACAAACATGCCCCCCACAAAAAGCTAAGAATGAGAGGCAGATCAAGTTCCTGGTTCTCTAGTGAAGTTTCCTCATTGTTTAAAGCCAGAAATAAAGCTTGGTCCACTGCTAGATGCACTGGAGAGAGAGGCCACTGGCTCACGTTCAGACAACTGAGAAACAGACTTATCTCTGCAGTTAGAAAGGCCAAATCAGATTATCATCTCAGCCTGATTATTATCTCAGCTCTACAAAGAACTTTTGGAAAACTGTAAAATCCCTTAAAAACAATTCCTCTACCCTTCCAACCAGCGTTATAGATGATCATATGATGATCAGCTGATATCTGATCAGAAGGAAGTCTGTAGAGCTTTTAACACACATGTCGCTGCAGCTGGGCACATTTTTGAAAATACTGACTCGGATCTGCTGTTAGGTCAAACTGATATGAACTCTGCTACCCAGAGCCATAGTCTCTTCACACTCCAGCCCTTCTCTCCAATCACAGTAGCTAAATCTCTCACTAATGTTAATCCATGAAAAACTACTGGTGAGGATGGGCTGAACCCCTTACTTCCTGCGTCTATCAGCCCCAATTATTTTAGAATACATAACATATATTTTAATCTCTGTTTTATCATGCAGAATTCCCAGGATCTGGAAAATAGCTCATGTAACTCCACTGCATAAAGGAGGTGAGGCAGCAGATGTAAATAACTACAGACCAATCTCAAAATTGTCCTGTTTAGCTGAGATTTTAGAATTTCTAGTAAATAGTCAACTTAAATCATTTCTATATGAAAATTCTGTCCTGTTTAACTACCAGTCTGGCTTTAGAGAAAGACACAGCACCATCTCTGCTACCACACTGGGTTTAAATGATCTCTATATGGCCACAGACAGAAGAAGCATTGTGCTGCTATTTTTATTGATTTATCAAAGGCTTTTGATACAGTTGAACACATTCTTCTTTTAAGGGACTTACAAAAGATCAGCTTTGATACAAACTCTCTAAAATGGACCCCAAATTACCTTTCAGACAGACAACAGTGCGCAGCACTGAGTAATTACAGATCAGATTTTTTTACCTTATCCAAAGGAGTACCACAAGGTTCAATTTTGGGTCCAGTTTTATTCAATATATATGTTAATGAACTTGCTGCCTCTGCCTCAGACTGCAAAGTACACCTGTATGCAGATGACACGGCTTTATACTGTTCAGCTGACTCTGTTTATGCTGCAATAGGAAAACTACAAAGCTCATATAATGCCCTACAGGCTGCTTTGTGTAAACACAGATTTTAAATGCTAAGAAAACTAAGTTCATGCTGTTTTCCAGATCTACTAATACTGATTGTAATTCTGTAAATATCGCTACCCTGATGATCCAACATTGAGAGAGTCACAGAGTATAAATGCCTTGGCATAAGGCTGGATGATAAACTCACTGTAAACCCCATATTAATAAACTGGTTAGCAAATGTAGACAGAAGCTCAGTTTTCTATATAGAAATAAACCCTGTTTCCTCATGTATGCTAGAAAAAGAATTGCTGAGGCAGCCTTACTGTCTGTTATGGTCTACGGTGATGTAATTTACATACACGCATCTGCCAGTTCCCTCAAACCACTGGACTCAGTCTCACTCTGCACTGAGGTTCATCACTGGAGACCCTTATTAACACTCATCACTGCAGACTGGATGAGAAAGTTGGTTGACCCTCACTAGCAGCGCGGCGGAAACACACTGGTTTATTTTATTTATAAACACTCTCCGGCCGTATGCCCGCATATATTACTTCAGTGATGTCTGTAAATACTGGTGTTTATCAGACTCGCTCCAGTGGCTGGATCACATGGCAGGTACTGAGGGTTTTTACTGAACTGGGAAAATCTGCTTTTAGTTTCAGAGCACCAGCGAACTGGAGTGAGGCTACAGGAACCACTACCGCTCAGCTCTCTGGGTCACTCAGTCATTTAAACTCTAACTCTCTGACCACCTCCACTCTGCCTCACACTGTTTTACCTGATTTTTACCATTTTACTTATTTTCATTATTTTACTATTTATTTGTTATCTTATCCATTATTATTCATATTCTTATTCTTACGTTAATTATTATTTTATTATTATTTGTCATTTTAATACATTTGTTTATTAGTATTTTTTTTCTTATCTTCCTCTTTTTTATTTTGATTTGATTTGATTTTAACCTTTACATTTTGTGTTTTAATTAGTTTTATTATTTTTTATTATATTTTCATGTATTTTTATTATTAATGTTTCACTTTTTATACTTACTTGATCTGAGTCTTCATTTATTAAATTGACTTTTATTATTTGATATGTTCTTAAACATTATCATATATATATATAGCCTTGCTCTGTATTAACTCGGCAACATTGTAAATGAGGGGCACCCTCAATGTTCTCCGAGATTAAACAAGGGTTGATTGATTAATTGATTGATTGATTGATTGATTGATTGATTGATTGTAAATGTACACAATGTAAAATATAAATATATACAGTGATAATATACATGTATAGTACAAATGTACATGGTAATCATGTAAATGTGCACAGTGTATAATGTAAATGTGCACAGTGTATAATGTAAATGTATATGGTAATAATGTAAATGTGCACAGTGTATAATGTAAATGTGCACAGTGTATAATGTAAATGTATATGGTGTTAATGTAAATGTGCACAGTGTATAATGTGAATGTGTAAGGTGTTAATGTAAATGTGCACAGTGTATAATGTAAATGTGCACAGTGTATAATGTAAATGTGTAAGGTGTTAATGTAAATGTGCACAGTGTATAATGTGAATGTGTAAGGTGTTAATGTAAATGTGCACAGTGTATAATGTGAATGTGTAAGGTGTTAATGTAAATGTGCACAGTGTATAATGTAAATGTATATGGTAATAATGTAAATGCACAGTGTATAATGTAAATGTGTAAGGTGTTAATGTAAATGTGCACAGTGTATAATGTAAATGTGTAAGGTGTTAATGTAAATGTGCAGTGTATAATGTAAATGTATATGGTAATAATGTAAATGTGCACAGTGTATAATATAAATGTGTAAGGTGTTAATGTAAATGTGCACAGTGTATAATATAAATGTGCACAGTGTATAATGTAAATGTGTAAGGTGTTAATGTAAATGTGCACAGTGTATAATGTAAATGTGCACAGTGTATAATGTAAATGTGTAAGGTGTTAATGTAAATGTGCAGTGTCTAATGTAAATGTATATGGTAATAATGTAAATGTGCACAGTGTATAATATAAATGTGTAAGGTGTTAATGTAAATGTGCACAGTGTATAATGTAGATGTGTAAGGTGTTAATGTAAATGTGCACAGTTTATAATGTAAATGTATGTGGTAATAATGTAAATGTGCACAGTGTATAATGTAAATGTGTAAGGTGTTAATGTAAATGTGCACAGTGTATAATGTAAATGTGCACAGTGTATAATGTAAATGTGTAAGGTGTTAATGTAAATGTGCAGTGTATAATGTAAATGTATATGGTGATAATGTAAATGTGCACAGTGTATAATATAAATGTGTAAGGTGTTAATGTAAATGTGCACAGTGTATAATATAAATGTATATGGTAATAATGTAAATGTATATGGTAATAATGTAAATGTGCACCGTGTATAATGTAAATGTGTAAGGTGTTAATGTAAATGTGCACAGTGTATAATGTAAATGTGTAAGGTGTTAATGTAAATGTGCAGTGTATAATGTAAATGTATATGGTAATAATGTTAATGTGCACAGTGTATAATGTAAATGTATATGGTAATAATGTAAATGTGCACAGTGTATAATGTAAATGTGTGAGGTGTTAATGTAAATGTGCACAGTGTATAATGTAAATGTGTAAGGTGTTAATGTTAATGTATAGTACAAATGTACATGGTAATATGTAAATGTTCATAATGTAGAATGTAAATGTATATGGTAATAATGTAAATGTGCACAGTGTATAATGTAAATGTGTAATGTGTTAATGTAAATATGCACAGTGTATAATGTAAATGTGTAAGGTGTTAATGTAAATGTGCATAGTGTATAATGTAAATGTGCACAGTGTATAATGTAAATGTGTAAGGTGTTAATGTTAATGTATAGTACAAATGTACATGGTAATATGTAAATGTTCATAATGTAGAATGTAAATGTATATGGAATAATGTAAATGAATCCAGTGTATAATATTGATGTGAGACAGACAGAATAAAGACAGTGAGAGAAGCTCTGCAGATGTTGTGGTGATGAAGAGCTCAAACAGCTGTTTCACACTGACTGACCGACTGCAGAGACGCAGCTTCCCGAGTGAGAGCTCTGATACCGAGAGACTCCAGCTGGGCAGGTGTTTAGCCCCGCCCCTCTCAGAGGGAGATGGGCAGGTGAGGTGTGTGTGTCAGAGTTCCTTAATAAACTTTACAGCTGTGTAATGATTTGCTCACCTGAATTTTGATAATAAGGAAGTCTTGAATCTGCTCAGTCACACGTCAGACGACACTGTACACAGTGCTGGACTTCCTGGATGTCTCCTCGTTCCAGTCCAGCCGGTTTGGCAGGTAGCGTCATTTCTCCAGTTCTATCTTGCTTCTTTTGCGTTGGAATGACTTTGGTGATCCATCTCAACGCTCCTGTGAAGACGCTGTGGACAGTGTCCACCGCTGAAAGTCAAAGAAGACCACCACTGAGGAGTTAGGACTTCGGTGAGTTGATGATTTCTGCTCTGTTGGTCACTCTGCACCTAAAGACATGGTTAAAAACATCTGCACTTAACAGGCTTTTCCCTGTAACCTGAGAATGAACTCATTATGACACTAATATCCAGAGAGCCTCATGTCTGAAACCTCACGGATCGAACAGCTATTCATAGTCAATTTGGGGAAATCACCAAAAATAGATTACTTAATTAAATTAAATTAATAAATGTTACAGTTTATTAATTAACAATATTTTCTACATTTTTACATTTTTTATTGTCATAACTTTTTGTTGTTCCCAGAACACTTCGTCATTCCTATTTCTGAAATAGATGTACATTTTTTTTTAATTTATTTAGCTATTTACAATTATTTTTTATTATTCATTGTGTGTATATATATATATATATACATATATACATACACACACACACACATGTGTATATATATATATATATATATATCGCTACTGTCAGAACAAAACTTTGTATTTTACCATCGTGAAATTTACCCAATGTAAGCAGCACCAGGCATTTTCAAATTACATCAAAAGCTGAAAAATGGCAAAAAGGTGATACGAGGTTTTCTTCCGAAAGCAGCGATATATTCTTATTTTGGTAATTGTACCAAACTGTCTCACTGTATCAGCAGACAATGTTGCACCTTAACACCTATCAAGCTGTGTAACATAGAGAACGAACTGACATTAATGTCCAGAAGGTCTTATGATTGAAAAGCACTGACCAGACAGCTGTTTATGATCATGTCATATGTCTGTATGTTCTCTCTTCTTCATACTCAGTAATTCTACCTCTTTCAGATTTAACCAAATGTGCTACACAGAGCTTCTTTGAAAGAGCGAATAAAGGAGAATACACCGCACTCTCGACAGAGGAGCTGTAGAAATGCAAAACAGATAATCATAATTAAAGCTCACTGGCCAAGATGTCATTTTGGCAACTTGTTTAAAAATGTGCCTCCAGGGGGCGCCATTCCTGTCTGTAGCCCAGACCCTGTGTACAGGTTATGATTCAGTAACAGTTACTAATGTGACACAGATGATTCAGAGCGTTAGATGATGCTGTAACAGCTGAAGAAGCTGTAGAGCATCAGGAGTGAACTTAGAATCTAATTCATTTCAAAAAAATATTTCAGATATATTTCACCAATATTTCATATTTCAAACAGCTATTTGCAAGAAAACCCATGGGGAGAAATGTATAGGGACATGTATTTTTATATATTCAAACACACTGCAGTGCTGAAATACATGAACCAAATATGTCTTTAAATGTGTTTATTTTAAAATGTTACACATGTTTAAATGAGTTTATCAAATCCATCTGAAAATGTAGGAAAACAGCCAAAATCCTGTCTGATGCTCTTCACTGTCTGATAGCTTTAGAAATGAATTTGTATTCATTCTTTTAATATGTGAATTTTATATATTTGCAGATTTTTTCCATGTGGGTGAACTAATATAAATAATTATTTTGAAATTTTGTTCTTATTTTTTGTCATAACTTCTTGTTGATCTCTAAATATGTTAAAGCGGTTCAGGCTCCAGTGTCTACAACTTAAAATAAAATAACGACTTATTAATACAACGCATGGTTCCAAACTTTCGAATGGTAACGTAACAGAACACCATGTGGAGAAACGCTGTGTTTCCTCGATCTGTACGGCGTAAACAGGCTCTCACTCTCAGCTCCTGTACAGAAACAGCGACGAAAACTCTGTTTATCATTAGAATGAATGTAAATAAGCTTAAATACAGTAAACAGCAACAAGGAGTTCTTCTACTGAAGTATTAAACAGACAAAGCAGGCATTGATGATTAACTCCAGTCACTTCTGGGCTTCTGTGAGGAGAGGAGAGGGCAGGAAAGGGTTAAACACACATTAACACACATAAAACACAAAAACACGGCTCACCGTATCAATCTTACCTGTATTTATTCTAATATCAGTGTTAATACACACACACAGAAACTCACTGCACAGATTCTGATTCAAATAGAGAGATTTTTAAATGTTACAATTAATATTTTACTGACTCATAAACTTTCACTGACTCGTAGAGGTTACTGACTCTATCATCAATCCTGATGGAATTTAACAGAAGACTTTCTAGATGAAAACTGATCTTTCTCATTTAAGGAGAATCATACGATCACAGAGCCACTGTCTTCAGTGGATACAGTGATTTCCAGTTAATCAGTATCCTCCTCCGAGCCCGACGGGAGCAAAGGCCAAGGCCTCCTTAGTCCCACCTGGAGTTTCGAATCGGTTTTGTTTTTTGTGAATTTAAAGGACCTTCATACTTTCGCATATATAGCACACACACACACACTCATATATATATATATATATATATATATATATATATAAACACACACACACACACACACACACACATATATATATATATATATATAAAAACACACACACACATATATATATATATATATAAAAACACACACACACATATATATATATATATATATATATATATATATATATAAAAACACACACACACACACACACACACATATATATATATATATATATATAAACACACACACACACACATATATATATATATATATATATATATATATATATAAAAACACACACACACACACACACACACACATATATATATATATATATATATAAAAACACACACACACACATATATATATATATATATATATATATATATATATATATATATATAAAAACACACACACACACACACACACACATATATATATATAAAAACACACACACACATATATATATATATATATATATATATATATATAAAAACACACACACACACACACACACACATATATATATATATATATATATAAAAACACACACACTCATATATATATATATATATATATATATATATATAAACACACACACACACACACACATATATATATATATATATATATAAAAACACACACACATATATATATATATATATATATATATATATAAAAACACACACACACACACACACACACATATATATATATATATATATAAAAACACACACACTCATATATATATATATATATATATAAAAACACACACACACACACACATATATATATATATATATATAAACACACACACACACACACACACACACACACACACATATATATATATATATATATATATATAAAAACACACACACACACACACACACACACACACATATATATATATATATATATATATATTTATATAAAAACACACACACACACACATACATATATATATATATATATATATATATATATATATATATATAAAAACACACACATATATATATATATATATATATATATATATATATATATATACACACACAGTGGCAAGAAAAAGTACGTGAAGCTTTTGGAATTTTAATTTTTAATAATTTTAATAAGTTTTCTGCATTCATTTGTCATAAAATGTGATCTGATCCTCATCCAAGTCAAGTGTAGTGACAAATATAATGTGCCTAAAATAATAACACAAAAGAAATATGATCTTGCAGGTCTTTACTGCACACAGTCCATTCAGCATTCAAAGTGGAATTAACAGCTGGTTGCCCCCCCTTGGCAGCAGTAACCTCAACCAGGTGCTTCCTGTAGCTGTGGGTCAGACCTGCACGTCGTCCAGGAGGAGTTTTAGCCCGTTCTTCCTGGCAGAACTGCTTTAGCTCCGTCGTGTTCCTGGACGCCTCATGTGTACGGCTCTCTTCAAGTCAATCCATAGCGTTTCTACAGGGTTGAGATTTGGGCTCTGACACTCCGAAAGGCGGGTTTTGTTTTTATAAGACGTTCTGTTGTGGACTCGCTCCAGTGTTTTGGGTCATTGTCCTGTTGCATCACCCAGCTTCTACAGAGTCCCAGCTGACGTACGGACACTCTCACATTATCCTGTAGAGGTTTTTGATACACTTGGGAATTCATCTTCCCCATTCATCCTCCTTGATTGGAAGCTGGCCAGGCCCGATGCAGCAAAGCAGGCCCAAATCATGAGGCTCCCTCCACCGTACTTTACGGTTGGGATGATATTTGCATGGTGATGTGCAGTGCCTTTTTTACGCCAGATGCAGCGCTGCGTGCTCTTTCCAAATAGTCTAATCTTAGTTTCATCTGTCCACAAGACAGTTTGCCAGCACCGTTGTGGAGTGTCAGTGTGCTCTTTGGCAAACTTCAGACAGCAGTGTTCTTTTTAGAGGGCAGTGGCTTCCTTCGGCTTTACGGACTGTCGACTGATGAACACAGACGTCAGCCTGCACCAATGGTGCCTTCAAATCTTTGGCCGTCACTCGGGGTTGTTTCTTTACCTCATTGATGAGTCTCCGTTGTGCTCTTGGGGTCATTTTGACTGGGCGCCCACTTCTTGGCAGAGTAGCCACAGTGCCAAATTGTCTATATCTGTAGATGGTTTGACTGTAGACTGGTGAATTTCTAAAGTCTTTGAAATCACTTTGTAACCCTTTCCAGCTTCATGTAAATCAGCAGTTTTTGATCGTAGATCCTCTGAACGCTCTCTTTGGCGAGGCATGGCTCACAGACGCGTGTCCTTCTTGTGCAGAGCAAACTCAGAACGTTTGAGTGGTTTTTATCAGTCAGAGTGGCTCTAGTCAAACCTCCAAACTCATTTTCTCAACAAGACTCCAGGTTCGCTAACACCTGACTCCAATTAGCTTTTCTGAGATCATTAACTCAAGGGTTCACATACTTCACCCACCAGCACTGTGAGGCTTTTATGGTTGTTCTCAATGAAGACATGAATGATCAGAATTTTTTTGTCTTATTATTTTAGGCACATTATATTTGTCAATACGCTTGACTTGGATGAGGATCAGATCACATTTTATATATATATATATATACAAACACACATTTTTGTCCAAATTGAGTTTTTCTCATATTCTTATTCTGTGACACTCCTTCACACTATGTGAGATGTTTTTAAGTTTGTGTGCATTTTTGGACTCTTCACCTAGAAAACAGGTTATACTGCATCTCCACACTCAAACTCAAAGTTCTATCTGTGAGCCAGTGAGCACTTCACATACACACAAGAGGACCAATCAGGTTCTGCTTCTTAGTGATGTCACCACTCTGCTCAGTGACTGCAGTAAAAGTTTATAAAACTTTATGAAAGATGAAAACATGTTGCTGAAACTCTGCCTGTTGTCTTACATCTCTTTAAAAATGTCTTATTGTCTTAAATTTTAAATAAATTAAATTTTAAATAAATATTAAGATTTAAAAGATAATTAAATAGTGAACATGTGAACTGATCATAATTACTCATGTGAACTGATCATAATTACTCATGTGAACTGATCATAATTACAACGTAAACATTAATGTCATTCACTCACCCGTCTTTTCTTTTTCTTCTTTCTCCCAAAATAAGACATTTGGGCTCATTAGAGTCACATTTCTGATATAGAACTAAACCTCATATGGCCTTTAGACTGACCGGCTACACTGACCTGCTGGGATTTATTACAATTTATTACAGTAGCTGGTTTCTGTCCGATTAATGGTAACTTAAACTAATGGCTCTTAAAACTGACCTCTGCACTGGACAAAATACTTAGCAATTTAGACTCTTCTACTTAATCTGCAATGATTTATTGAACAAGAAAAAGATGATTCATCATAAAACAAGAAATATAGGTCATTAAATAAATAAATAATAAAAATAATGTCATAAAAACGTCACAGAAAGCTTTAAATTCATCTTTCTGATACTGTCGACACTCTGGTACACACAATTTTATCTTTTAAACCAAATTACAAGTATAAACCGTTTCGGTGCTTCTTTTCGTGTTCGAACCTTATAACTCCAAGCAGAAAGTGGGCTTTTAGGATTAGACGGTTCTGCATTTGAACTGTTACAGATCTGACACGATTTTGATTTTGCACATTTAAAATAAATGTAGGGTGTCAGTCACTGTCACAAAGATACCTGTTCACATATCAGTTCTGCTGTTCAGAACAGAAAATCTTTGAAGATCAATATCTCAAAACTGCTCAGAACACAGACAGAACCTCAAATATATACATATATACATATTTATATTTATATATATATATATATATATATATATATGTGTGTGTGTGTGTGTTTGTATTGAATACAATGGAAATATCATTTTCTCCATTATCAGTATCTGAAAGCAGAGCTAGAAAATAAATTAGGTTTCTTTCAGCTTTTCTCTGCTTTTTCTCAAACAGAGGGAACATCAACCATCAGTTTAGTGATTCTCCATGATGAAGTTAATGGTTTGGATTGAGACAGAATGAACCAACTGATGAGGCAGTTTTCAGAAGCCTGTTATTTACATATTAGAAAAGCACATGTGCAAATATATGAGAAATGCAAATGAGCTGATTTCCATAATACTCAAATGCACCTGCCAAGCAGTGGTTCCCTTTATGTAGTGCAGTCCAGATACGATCTAGACACATCAGACTAACACTAACGTAATGAGGAACACATTCAAATGTTAACGGCAGGCAGCACTTCAGGAGGAGTCACTGAATCAGGACCTGACCTTTCACCTCCGGCATGTTTGAGAAGTGGTGTTATTTATTTTTTACTTATTTTATTTTATTTTCAATTAAAGAAAAATCACTATCAAATATATGCTTGTAGTTTATTCTTCAACAGAGTTTGCTACTTTTTTATCAAGTCCTAACTTCTTGTTTTGTGATTGTAAATAAGCCTCCAGGTTATGTTTTGGTGTCAAGTTCACAACGTTTTTTAGTGATTGTTAATGTGAGAAGTGATTTCAGTCTTTTGAACAGTACAGTTTGTGACAAAATGTGGAATGATTCTTGAAAGGACACTTCCAGCTGCTGTTTTGGGGGAACAGCAACAGAAACGGTAATGAAAACAACACTGACGCTGTTTATCACTCGCGAATGCGCAACTGCTGCTGCGAAAGAGCTCATTACGTGGAGCTAAACCACCAGCTTCAATTCATTAAGTACTCAGCTCATATGGGACTAAAGTCAATAGTTTAGAACTTGGTGAACACAGTCATTAGTAACAACTGTTCATGTCAGCAGTAACACCAGGGCTCATATTCTCAAAGTAGGAGCGCTGATCCAGGATCAGAGTCCTCTCTAATTCACTGTGACCGTACAGACAGGAACAGATCCCAGGTCAGCGCTCGTACTGGAACACAGCCCAGACCTCGTTCACTCACTGCTCTGCTAACACTGCAGTGTCGTAAAGGCAGCACTGTCTGAATGGAGGGTAATGAGAACAGGTGACGGCTGCGCGTGCTCAGCGCCGGGGGTCCGATCATCATCCCCCGCTACCCCCACTACTGTCTGTACATGCCTGTACAGCATAGGTGACAAAAAGCCCCCAAATGACAGTAAACTTTGTGTGTGCTGCTGTTTTCAGTGCAGACCTGATATAAAAGGCTGGACTGATTAACACAGGAGGATCTGACTGCAGCGCTCAGCACTGGCTGTGTTTTACCACTGCGCTGTGTGTTCTGGGGAGATAAAGTGTCCTTTCTGTACTGTGGAATCTATTATCATAATCAAAACAGCAAAAAATAAAAAACAATTTAGGCAGAAATAAAAATAAACATATATTAGACAAAAATAAAAGTAGACAGAAATGCAAATAGACACAACTTAAGACAAAATAATAAATAGACATAAATTAGACAGAAATAAATATAGACATACATTAGTAGAAATAAAAATAGACAGTTATTTATTTATTTAATCTTTTTATTTCAAATGTTGAGTTTTTAAAGAAGTTGACTTTGCACTCTAACACTGTGTAACTTCTAGCCTGTTTATTTTTTACCATTTGTTTTTGCAGTAGAATGTTTATACGCTGAATGGAAGTCATGTTGATTTCTTTATTTTTATTTATATTCACTTTTATGAACTGAATTGTAATTCATGTTTTCTTTGAATGTTTAGATTTCACAAGTTTATTGTAGCACTGAAAAGTTCACACAGGAATTATAATTACTTTGTTATTATTATAATTACTTTGCTGTATTATCCAGACTCATGTTAATAATGATAGTTTTTGTAATACTTCATTCTTATGGATTGTCTTATGTTTCCATTGTATTATTCTTTTGCTCTAGTTACAGCCAAAGTGAGGTAACCGATTCCAGTATCGGAATCAGAAGAGACCAACTGGAATCGGTGTATCTGTACTTAATAGCTACTAGTTATGTTTAAATGTTGTCTACATAAAGTTTCAAGAGAATCAATGTTTCAGGGAATCAATGTTTAGACTTGATTCACTCAATTTGGTTCCAATTTGGTTCAGAATTTAAGCTGTGGCGTTAGCTTTCAATGCTTCAGCTAACTCCACGGCCAACTCCACAGCTAACTCCACAGCTAGCTAACCCTCATTCTGCTTTCAGAAACAATCTATCTTTGACCAAACTGTAACAACATGGCACTGGCATTACACAGAATAGTTGATGCTTTCAGTTACATACCACACATTTTGCTTATGTCAAACTAACCACACAGCTAAGTTTGTTGCTAATTCCAAAGCTATTTCTTATTCTACCTCCAGAACCCAATTTTGATCAAATCTATCAAAAACAAACAAGATAACACTGGGAACAGATATAAACAATACTCAGTTACACAGAACGGTTGAGGCCTTCAGTTAAACAGTTAATAGAATGCATCTAAAAGCTAACTGAGCAGCGAACTCCTCCACTGATCCCAAAGCTAACTCTCATTGTACTTTCAGTGTAGTCCAATTTTAACCAGACCTTCACAAGCCTCACTGGGCATGTTCACAGTACAGTTAATTAAAGAATAGGTGTATGAAGAATACCCAGCTTTAAAAGAAAACTAAACCGCTAACTCAAAAGCTAACTTTTGAGGGGGGAGGACCTGTGCAGGTGGAGGAGTTTAAGTATCTGGGGGTCTTGCTGACGAGTGATGGGAAGAGGGATGGTGAGATCGGCTGCAGGATGGGACAGGCGGCAGCAGTAATGCAATCACTGTACCGGACTGTAGTGGTGAAGAGGGAGCTGAGCCGTAAGTCGGTCTACATCCCCACCCTCACCTGTGGTCATGAGCTTTGAGTAATGACTGAAAGAAAGAGATCATGGAGGAGCTCAGAGTAGAGTTGCTACTCCCCCACACTGAGAGGAGCTATTTGAGGTGGTCCAGGCTTCTGATCAGAATGCCCCCTGGACGCCTCCCTGTGGGTGTTTACCAGGCACGGCCTACTGGGACGAGACCCCGGGATCGTCCTAGGACCCTCTGGAGGAAATATATCTTAAAGTTGGCCTGGGAGCGTCTTGGGGTCCCCCGGAAATACTAAAACATCTGTGGTTTTTTTGGCTATGTTTATACCTGCACTGTATGAACAGGTGCACATGTACAGGTAGTAAATAGGAACACTGGAAACAACAGACATGAAACTCATGCATCTTCTTTCTCTTTTCTCTTAAGGCCAAGAAATGACATCAAAACCTTCCACTGGATGCCTTCAGCACATCTTTATAGCCAGCGCTCTGCTGCTGTGCTCTGCAGTTATATTCTACATGTACTACAAGCCGACCATGAGCTGGTTGCCATGCTCTGATACTGCACTACCCAAACAAGACGTCTGTACAGAGGAATGCCTCCGTGTTCTTGAGGTGGAGAACCAAACTCAAATTATTACTGACTGCAGTGCAGTCCAGGAAAAGACACCAACCACTCAATCACCAGTTTTGGAAAAGGAAGACACTGCAAACCCCCACAAACCTGAGATAGTAGTCTTAGTCTGGAAGTGGCCTTTTGGAGAGCAATTTGATTTGGAATCCTGTGAGTCAAATTACGGTATCAAAGGTTGCCGTTTAACGCTTGACAGAAATCAACTTGACAAAGCCCACGCTGTAATGTTCCATGTGAGGGACATCGGAGGCGAGGTATCGAACCTGTTGACATTATCTCGACCTCCACGGCAGAAATGGGTGTGGATGAACATGGAGTCTCCGGCACACACACCACAGCTGCATGGAGCAGATGACTTATTCAACCTGACGTCAAACTATCGGAGAGATTCAGACGTCTGGGTTCCTTATGGACGACTCATAGACATCTCTGAGAAGGACGAACCCTTTAAGATACCGGAAAAAGACAAATTAGTCTGCTGGATCGTCAGCAACTGGAATGGCAACTATAGGCGAGTGGGTTACTTCAATGAACTGAGCCAACACATCAAAGTCGAGGCCTACGGGCGGCACTTTGGGAGGTACATTAACAAGGAAGATTATGCTAAAGTCATGTCAAGCTGCAAGTTCTACTTAGCGTTTGAGAACTCCGTCTTTAAAGACTACATCACAGAGAAGCTCTTCAACACAATGAGACTCGGCGCGGTTCCCGTGGTGCTTGGCCCATCCAGGGAGAACTATGAGGAATATATACCAGGAGATTCCTTCATTCATGTGGACGATTTCAAAACAGCACAAGAACTGGCAGAACATCTCAAACTTCTGGACCAGAACCAGGAGATGTATGAAAAGTACTTTGCCTGGCGAAAAGACTATGTTGTGCAGCACTCTGCTTTTGGTCAGGAGCATGCTTGCCGTATTTGTGATCATGTAAGGAGGTACAAGACCTTTAGAATATTCAAAAGTGTTAATAAGTGGTATTGGAGCTAGCTAGCTTGTTGTAAAGTCAGCCTTGTGGTGTTTCACTCAGAGTGGGAAAGCTTGATTCCATAACAAATCTAGATTCAAATGTCTTGTTTGCTATGTTGGTCATAGTCAAGATCTAAGCCATTATTTTTTAAATACCTTTCAAATATTTAAAAATTAATTCTGAGATTTAAAATCAGGTTCTATTAATTTAGGAATTAATGACTATGACTATCACCAACATAACAAACAAAACATTTGAATCAAGGTTTGAAGAAGTGACAGACCCTGAGTGCAGCAGTGACTTCACATCATCTGACATGAACCATTGTTTTACTAAATAAATTAATGGAAGATATTGAAGCTGTTAATCATAAGATGCTTCATTATAAACTTGTCTTTTCAAAAGAATTTGCGAAAACCAGATAAATTCCTCATAAACAGAAGAATGTAAAAACTTGGTGACATTCTAACACTGACAAAACAAGGATAGTTACTGGATATTTCCTTTTACTGTTTGAATGGTGTGGCTCAGGGGCATGTGCTAGTGCCAGTTTTGTTTAGTCTTTATGTATGTATATAGATGACTTTGTAATTATTGTTTATGGAAAAAGCAATTTAACAAATCGAGCAGCTCAGCTACACTGAGGTATGAAAAAGATGGCTCTTCAAGAGTTCTTTAATGAAGAAAATGGTTCTACATAGAACCATGAACACTCAAAGAACCCTTTGCCTGATTAAAGAATTCTTTGCAAGGTGAAATGGAGAATGTGCTGTTGATGGTTCTATGTAGAACTTCTGTGAAAAGGGTTCTGTATAGCACCAAAAAGGGTTTTGATGCTAGACTTGTAACAACAGAAGAACCCTTTTTGGTGCTTTACAGAACAATCTAAAGAACCATTTCACCATGCAAATAACCCTTTAATAATGCAAATCGTTCTTTGACTGTTCATAGTTCCATATAGAACAATTTTCTTTAATTAAGAACCCATGAAGAACCATCTATTTTAAGTGTGTATATAAATCTGTGACACATCTACCTGGACCAGTGGTCACCAACACACCTCCTGGAGATCTACCTGCCTACAGGTTTCACCTTCAACCCAAATCTGACGCACTTCATTCAGCTGATCATGGACTTCTGAAGGCAATAATTCGATAGATCAGGTGGGGTCAGTTAGGGTTTGAGGTAGAGGCTGCACAACTTCTGATTATTAAAAGTCAACAGTTATGCAATGAAAGTCGAGTCGATGTCAACTAATCAGAGATGATGTCATGAATGAAACCGCAAGAGAACGAAATGCTGTGAAACAAGCCACTTTAAAAATCTGACGTTAAAATTTGTGACGAAGCCACAGGTCAGTAGAGCCCTTTCCAATGAGCCCTGTATCACAATGCTAGCCTTCAGGGAACCAGAGATACAGACCCCAAAATCTCGTGAATCTCGATCTGCCCTAGGTGGTGGAGGTCCGGAGAGCCAGAGAAATGTATAGTGCCTTAAGTCGGCGAAAACAAGACTAGCCAACTTCAGTCTTTGCAGGCTTACAGGGCATTATGCCCTCTCTCCAACCAGGACTGTTTATTGTAGTCTTTTGGGTAACTGGGGATAACAGTGTTTGATATCTGATTTTGAAGCTTCGTAGATTGGTGGAGAAATGGTAGAAGCCGAACTGCACAGGTCAGTAGAGCATGACACACCCAGAACTTCACAGGTCAGTAGTGTGATGCACCCCTTCCAATGACCCCTGAATCGCATTGCTAGCCTTCAGGGCACTGGAGCTACACACTCCGAAATCACCAGCCTCCGCACCTGCTGTCTTCTCTAGGAGGTGCATGTTGTTAGTGTCATAATCACGTGATCAGCGACTCGTCGACATCAAGATTAAAGTGTCATCGCCTGGCAGCAAAGTCTGTGCAACCCCTATTTGGAGCAGAAGTCTTCAGGACCGTAGATCTCCAGGAGCGGTTTTGGTGACCACTGGCCTAAATGTTTTCACTTTCGGACTAACTGAATGTGTTTCTAAACTGTGAAGAAAGTTGTTTGGACTAGATGTACTCACTGAGGATGAAAAGCTTGAAACTGTGCCATACATTATGCTGGGAAGGTTGGTTCATATTTAATACTGGAGAAAGTCACTATGATAGAATTGGTAATAGAGTTATGTTATACATAAGTTTGGCTGCAGCTTTTAGCGTCGACACTAAACAGCTGTACTAAATCTTTCAAACTTTTTTTTTACAAATACATGGGTGCCAACCTGGGTTAACACTGGGGGATGGAGGAGGTTGTTGGGACTTAAAATAAAGACTTTTGTCAAAACTTGATGACAGTTGTTTAATTTGGGGGAGGGATGTGGACATAAGAGCAGGAACTGTGGGTGAGTATGCAAAACAATTATCTTCAACATGGTAACTTTACAGGAGAAGGCAAAAACGTTCCTTGTTTTTGTGCAGTTTGAAGGTGTAAATGTATACAATGTAAAGAGATTCTATATTTTAACAATTATGGAATATTTCTATTGGTCCATTCAGAGAAATTTTCACACAAAATAAAGGGCTGCTGTGAGGAGAGCAGAGATTTTCAGAGAGTTTCTGAATCTGTGACTGTAGAACGGAAAGGCTGAAGTTATTATAAACTCCCCATACACACTCAGCTGCACACATAGATAGTATTCTCTATTACTGTGCTGAGGTTTCCCTATTCTGTAAAAGCAGTGAGCCACTCAAGGCTGTCACACACTAATGCAGTGGGTCTCACGGCTTACGGTTCTCATGTTAATAGAACCAGCAAGCCCAGATAGAACAGAGAACAGCACAATTCAGAAAGTTTGGTGGATATTATTACAGTTACTAGACGTCATAAAATCTGCCCAATCAGTCATGACTTACTCTTGTTTACATCTTTTGGTTCTGATTTAAATATGTTAGTGTGAACACTAAACAAACCAGAACTAAAATGCAACAAGGTATCATTGTCTACTTTGATCTGGACCAGAAGAACTCAACTACACTTTAAAAAAAAAGAAGAAAAATGGTTCTATATAAACCATGAACACTCAAAGAACCTTTGCATGGTGAAATGGTTCTTTAGACTGATGGAGAATATGTTGTATATAATTCTGTATAGACAGCCAAAAAGAGTTCTGCTGTTGCAATGTCAAGCTTGTATACAATAGAAGACCCTTTTTAACGCTAGATAAAATCCTTTTCAAAAAGGTGCTACTTTTCTTCATCAATCTGAAGAACCATTTTATCATGCAGAGAACCATTTAAGCACGCAGATAGTCCTACGAGAATTTGTGGTTCTATACAGAACCTTTGACATTGCTAAAGAACCCTTGAAGAGCCATGTTTTTAAGAGGGTACAAGTATAAATGCACCCCAACACTGCTCGTCTGGCTAAGACATATTTGCGATCATGAAGTTATACTATGGCAGCGCTCATGTAAACAGGATGATATATGGCCGAGTGTGTTTATATAAGTCATGTAAATGTCTCAGCTCAGATCATTTCCCACTCAGGCTGGGAGGTGAACGTAAATGTAATTGCTGTTGTTATGTGATTGTGAAACACCAACCGTACTGAATGCTGGAACAGCTGACAGCACTGATAGAACACAAAAAGGGGAACAGATCACAGACAAAACAGGAAAAGAGAGTCATTCTGTGTTCAGCGCTGCGGCAGAGCTTCAGTCTGGACCGCACGAACACTTCTGCCTCCGTCCGGCTCCCTTCATCCTGCTGAGGTCATTCAGACTGACTGCTGTCCACCTGTTCATCGCGCGATCGGCCGAGATCAGCCCTGTGAGAATGACAATTACTATCGTTCACTACAGGACACTACACTAGCATTGTAGATCATTACAGACTACTATCATTCACTACAGGACACTACGCCGGTGTCGTAGATCATTACAGACCAGTTATTGTCATTCGCTACAGGACACTACGCCGGTGTCGTAGATCATTACAGACCAGTTATTGTCATTCACTACAGGACACTACGCCGGCGTCGTAGATCATTACAGACTAATTACTATCGTTCACTACAGGACACTATGCCGGTGTCGTAGATCATTATAGACCAGTTATTGTCATTCACTACAGGACACTACGCCGGTGTCGTAGATCATTATAGACCAGTTATTGTCATTCACTACAGGACACTACGCCGGTGTCGTTGATCATTACAGACTAATTACTATCATTCACTACAGGACACTACGCCGGCGTCGTAGATCATTATAGACCAGTTATTGTCATTCACTACAGGACACTACGCCGGTGTCGTTGATCATTACAGACTAATTACTATCATTCACTACAGGACACTACGCCGGTGTCGTAGATCATTATAGACCAGTTATTGTCATTCACTACAGGACACTACGCCGGTGTCGTTGATCATTACAGACTAATTACTATCATTCACTACAGGACACTACGCCGGTGTCGTTGATCATTACAGACTAATTACTATCATTCACTACAGGACACTACGCCGGTGTCGTAGATCATTATAGACCAGTTATTGTCATTCACTACAGGACACTACGCCGGTGTCGTTGATCATTACAGGCCAGTTATTGTCATTCACTACAGGACACTACGCCGGTGTCGTTGATCATTACAGACTAATTACTATCATTCACTACAGGACACTATGCCGGTGTCGTAGATCATTATAGACCAGTTATTGTCATTCACTACAGGACACTACGCCGGCGTCGTAGATCATTACAGACCAGTTATTGTCATTCACTACAGGACACTACGCCGGCGTCGTAGATCATTACAGACCAGTTATTGTCATTCACTACAGGACACTACGCCGGCGTCGTAGATCATTACAGGCCAGTTATTGTCATTCACTACAGGACACTACGCCGGTGTCGTAGATCATTACAGACCAGTTATTGTCATTCACTACAGGACACTACGCCGGCGTCGTAGATCATTACAGACCAGTTATTGTCATTCACTACAGGACACTACGCCGGCGTCGTAGATCATTACAGACCAGTTATTGTCATTCACTACAGGACACTATGCCGGTGTCGTAGATCATTACAGACTAATTACTATCGTTCACTACAGGACACTATGCCGGTGTCGTAGATCATTACAGACCAGTTTTTATCATTCGCTACAGGACACTACGCCGGCGTCGTAGATCATTACAGACCAGTTTTTGTCATTTGCTACAGGACACTACGCCGGTGTCATAGATCATTACAGACCAGTTATTGTCATTCGCTACAGGACACTACGCCGGCGTCGTAGATCATTACAGACCAGTTTTTGTCATTTGCTACAGGACACTACGCCGGTGTCGTAGATCATTACAGACCAGTTACTATCGTTCACTACAGGACACTACGCCGGCGTCGTAGATCATTACAGACCAGTTATTGTCATTCACTACAGGACACTACGCCGGTGTCGTAGATCATTACAGACCAGTTATTGTCATTCACTACAGGACACTACGCCGGTGTCGTAGATCATTACAGACTAATTACTATCCTTCACTACAGGACACTACGCCGGCGTCGTAGATCATTACAGACTAATTACTATCCTTCACTACAGGACACTACGCCGGCGTCGTAGATCATTACAGACTACTATCATTCACTACAGGACACTACGCCGGCGTCGTAGATCATTACAGACCAGTTATTGTCATTCACTACAGGACACTACGCCGGCGTCGTAGATC